CCTGGCGGGGGAAGAGCTCAGTTATGGGGGCCAGTAGTCGGTTCACCAGGAATGCCCTTCCTGCCCTGCTGATCTACAAGGGGGGTGAACTGATCGGCAATTTTGTTCGTGTCACTGACCAGCTGGGAGAAGATTTCTTTGCTGTGGACCTTGAGGCTTTTCTGCGGGAATTTGGATTACTTCCTGAAAAGGAAATCTTGGTGCTGACATCTGTGCGCAACTCTGCCACCTGTCACAGCGAGGATAGTGATTTGGAAATAGATTGAACTGATAGTCTAGTTGCATAGATTTCTCATTGTTTGGGCTGGAAGACATGTCTGTTTATTTTTGTTTCTTCCTATGTCTTCTGGCTTTTCAGCTGTTCTTTGTAGTACTTTTCATTATGTGTAAAATCAAGAAATTCTTAGATTAAATCAGAATGCTGAATCACTTTGTGGCTAGCAATAAAATGACTTCAAATTGTATAAACAGGAAGCTAGGCTTTTGAACTGTTTGCTTAAGATTCTCTAGCATGACATCTTTGTTACTGTTTCCAGTCAATATTTACAAGGAATCCTAAAGACAGTGTCCTAGAAATTATCTTCAGATGATCTCAGAGATCTCTACCAGGTCTGAGAGTATAATTCTTCAGTTCGTGTGTTATTTGCAATATAAATAGTGCACTTCCTTAATCAAATGAATGTAAGTTATATTTACTTGTAATCACATCCATGGCTCTAGGAGACAGTTATATATTTTTTTCTCTAGACTCCCTTCTCCATCCCAGTCTTTCTTGAAGGTTCCAGATGATGCACGTTTGCTGTCAGGAGGGGTGGCCTCTGCACTGGAGTCAGTGTATCGTTCAAGCATCACAAAGTCTGGAACAGGAGGAAGGGTCCATGTTGACTGCCCTAGTGACGCTGGAATTCAAGTGTTTTATTGACTTGTAGCTGGGTAGAGCTGGAAAGCTTTTTAAAGGAGGATCTTTAAATGAAATGTCCCTGCTCGTCTCTTTTTCTCTTATTTAACAAGTATCTTATTTAATCTAGATTTTTTTAATACTTTTTTTTTTGCATATTAGAAAATGATTTATATTCAGTAGAGGAAAATTGACCAAAATTCAGAAGCAAAAATGCAAATATTAAAATAATCTTTAATTGTACCACCTAGGATAAAACACTGTTAATATTTTTTATTTCCTGCCAAGGTATTTTCCATGTATTCATAGACATTTCGTTTGTTCGTCTTTAAACAAAATAATGGGATCATCCTGAACATACTGTTTTATAGTATGGTCAGCTAATAATATTATTAGACATTTTTTCATGTCATTAAATAAATCTTTTACAACATTTTTTAAATGACTGTTGACAGGCTATTGTATAGTTGTGCTATAATTTGCTTGGTGGTGCTTTCTTTAAAAAAAAAACACACTTAAAAATCTTTTTTTTCCAGGGGTGTGTACACTCACCTGAGAGAGACAATAGAGGGAGAAGAGACAGCACCCACAAAGGAGAATGGTTTTACCACAATCCCTTCTCCTCCAGCTCTCCCTCTTTTTCAGGATTTTGGGCAAGCATACACACATGTCTGGCGTGTTTCTCAAGCCATCAGGTCCAGGACTTGAACCACATGGTCAACTATGTGGTATTTCCAGCTGCCTTAACCATCAGGCCACAAAGCCAGCCCAATCCAATAGCTAACACTTTTAATTATTATTATTATTATTATTATTTTTAGAGATTTTTGCCATAGGATGTATTGACTCACCAGAGAGACAGAAGTGGTAAGAGGGAAAATGAGGAATCATCCCCCAGGAGGATGGCCATGCCACAGTCCATTCTCCTCCATTCTCTTCCTGGGATCTGGGCATGCACAGACACATGCTTGTCATGATTTTCAAGCCACCACGTCTGGGACTTGGGCTGAGGTTGGCCATGTGGGAGTCCAGCAATGTAACCACAACACCATTTGCTGGCTCCACTAACACTTTTTAAAATTATGAAAATAATAGTTCAGTTGTGAAAAATACAATAAAAGTTATTAAGCTATAAAGAAATTTAAAAAGCCATATAATCTCACTAATCAAAATTAATCTCTGTTGTCATTTTTACAGGTATCTTTCTAGTCTTTTTTTTCCTCTGTATTGGTAATATTGACTATTGACTATTATTGAATTTTTCTTTTTTCTATTTAAAAAATGTACATTATAGTGTCAGGGAAATTGTAATCTGGATTTAAATATAGTTTTAAAATTCACAGTTTTGATTTTTCTGTTTAGGAATTGACTAACTGTAGAAGAATCTCGGAAGCGTAGATTGTATTTAAACAACAAAAAGAAAGTGGTTGTTTTGACTAAGAAAAAGCTGAATGTAGTAAGGGTAGAAAGCCCAGAAAATTATTAGAAGCAGAGACAACTATTGTTAATATTCTAGTCTAGTTCTATTCCATTCTAGTTCTAGTTCAGTTTTTTAAAAAAATATTTTTTAATAACATTGAGAGTTGTTTAGTTTGGTACTTAGCTTTATTTAATATTATAAATACTTTGACATGTTATAAAACTTCTAAATAAATAATTTTCATGGCTTTATAATGTTCCATCATTTGAATATCCCATAACTTAATCAGTTTCTTTATTATTATTTTTTATACATTCAATTGCTATACATCATTTAGCTTGTAGACAGAATTTACCTAACATGAAATACACCTCAGACCAGTCTAGTTAAGAATACTATACACATTATCAACAAGTAATAAATCATCTCTGTGTCCCATAAATGTCTTATGTCTCTATTTTTCTCCCTAATTTTCTTTCCTACACTCTTCCCCTCTCCCACCCTCCTTCCACATGGTCTCCAATGTCCATAACTATTTTCAATGCTTTTATGCCCTCCAATCTTTCAGTCTCTACCATGGAGTGCAGATAGTCATATGTTAAATGGAGACATACAATGTCTCTCTTTCATAGTCTGACTTGCTTCACTCAGCAATAAATCTTCCATATTCATCAACTTTCTATCAAATACTAGGGTCTTGTTTCTTATGACTGAATAGTATTCCATGGAATATATGTACCACACTTTTTCAGTCATCTGTTCATGGACATCTGGGTTGATTCCATGTGTTAGCAATCGTGAATAATGCAGTAAACATAGATGTGCAAACACTTTTCTTTTCTTCTTCTTTTTTTTTTTGGAGAGGCTTTTGCTATAGGGCACGTGTGCTCACCAGAAAAACAGAGAGAGACAGACAGAAAATGATAAATCACTCCCCGGAGGGGTTGGCCACGCCGCAATCCCTTCTCCTCCATTCTCCTCTCAGGGATCTTGGGCATGCACGCACACATGCCTGGTGTTAGTTTAAGCCACCGGGTCCAGAACTCGAACCACGGTTGACTACATGGGAGTCCAACAACATAGCCATTACGTCAACTGCTGATTCTGCAAGCCCTTTTCTAATTGAACATTCTCCTGTCCTTTGGGTAGACATCCAGGAGTGGAACTGCTAGATCATATGGTAATTCTGTTTGTAGGTCTGAGAAACCTCCAAATTGTTTTCCATAGTGGCTAGACCAATTTACATTCCCATCAACAGTGTAGGAGAGTTCCTCTTTCACCGCAATCCTGCCAACACTTAGCATTTTTTGTATTTTTAATCTTCATTCTGATGGGGGTTAGGTGATATCTCATTGTGGTTTTGATCTGCATCTCTGTTATGATGAGGGACACGTTGAACATTTTTTCATATGTATTTTAGCTATTATGTCTTCCTTAGAGAGTTGTTTATTTGGATCATTTTCCCATCTTTCAACTGGGTTAATTTTTTCGGGGTAAACTGCTTGAGTTCCCTGTGTATTCCAGTTATCAGTCCCTCATCTGAAGCATAGTTTAGAAAAACATTCTCCCATTCCAAGGTTGGTCGATTCACACTAATTACTATATCTTTTGCTGCGCAGAAACTTCTTAATATGATGTAATCCCACTTGTCTATTTTTTGGGATTATTGCCTGTGCTGTGGGAATCTTATTTAAAAAGTCTGACAGTCTCAATGTATTCCAGAGTTTCCCCAGTGTTTTCTATCAGTAGTTTTATAGTTTGAGGTCTTAGGTTTAAATCTTTGATCTATTTTGAGTTGACTTTTGTTAATGGTGAAAGATGGGGGTTCAGTTTCATCTTTCTATAGGTGGATACCCAGAAACCATTTGCTAAAGAGAATTTCCTTTTCCCACTGGACTGACTGATATTCCTTGTTAAAATTATTTGGCTGTATGTTTTTTGAGTTATAGCTGGGGTCTCTATTTTGTTTTACTGGTCCACATGCCTGTTTTTGTGCCAGTACTATGTTGTTTTGATTATCAAAGCTTTATAATATATTTTGGGGTGAGGGAGTGAGATGCTGCCTACTCCACTCTTCTTGCACAAGATTGCTTTGGCAATATGAGTCTTTCATGATTCCATAAATTCTATGTCTTCTCTAGATCTGTGAAGAATGTCTCTGGTAATTTAATTGGAATTGTGTTAAATATGTAGATTAATTTGGGTACACTTGCCATTTTGATTATATTAAATATTCCAATTCAGGAACATGCGATGTCCTTCCACTTTTTTGTGTTCTTTTCAATGTCTTCTTAAAGACTTTTATAGTTTCCCTTGTAAAGGTCTTTGACTTCCTTGGTTAGGTTTATCCCTAGATATCTTATACAAGGGATGGCTATAGTAAAAAGAACTGTTTTCTTAAGTTCTACCTTGGTCAGCTTGTAGTTCATATATAAAAATGCTACCTATTTTTGGTTATTGAGTTTGTATTTGTATTCCTGCCACTTTACTGTATTCCTTTATTACTTTGAGAAGGGTCTTCTAAGTATATCATCATGTCATTTGCAAATAAAGATATTTTCAACTCATTGTTGCCTATTTGAATGCCTTTTATATTGTTCTTTTTTCTTTTTTTTTTTTTTTTTGAGTGTTTTTTGCTATAGGGCGTGTGTGTTTGCCAGAAAGACAAGAGAGAGAGACAGAGAGACAGAAAGTGAGAAATCACCCCCTGGGGATATGGCCACACAGCAATCCCTTCTCCTCCAATCTCCTCTTGGGATCTTGGGCATGCACGCACATGTGCCCGGCGTGAGTTTTAAGCCACCAGGTCCGGGATGCGAACTGCAGTCAACTACGTGGGAGTCCAGCAACATAGCCATTACGCTAACTGCTGGTCCCTATTGTTCTCTTTTCTGATTGCGTTGGCTAAGACTTCCAGCACTATATTGAAAAGGGGTGGAGAAAAGGGCATCTTTGTCTAGTACCTTTTTTTTTTTTTTTTTGAGTGTTTTTTGCTATAGGGCGTGTGTGTTTGCCAGAAAGACAGAGAGAGAGACAGAGAGACAGAAAGTGAGAAATCACCCCCTGGGGATATGGCCACACAGCAATCCCTTCTCCTCCAATCTCCTCTTGGGATCTTGGGTACACATATACACATGCCAGGTGTGAGCTTAAGGCACTGGGTTCGGGAATCAAACCGTGATTGACAACATGGGAGTCCAGCAACATAGCCATTACGCCAACTGCTGGTCCCATAGTACCGGTTTTTAGTGGAAAAGCTTTTACCTTTTCCTCATTCAGTATAATGTTTACCATAGGTTTATTTTTGTTTTGTTTTGTTTTTTTTTGGAGAGGTTTTCGCTATAGGGTACGCTCGCCAGACAGACAGAGACAGAGAGACAGAAAGCGAGAAATCACCCCCATGGGGGGATGGTCACGCCGCAATCCCTTCTCCATTCTCTTCTCGGGATCTTGGGCACACACGCACACATGCCCGGCGTGAGTTTTAAGCCACCGGGTCTGGGATGCGAACTGTGGTCGACTATGTGGGAGTCCAGCGACATAGCCATTACGCTAACTGCTGGTTCCCACTATAGGTTTTTCATATATAGCTTTTTTTGTGTGTTGAGAAATGACCCTTCTATGCCAATTTTGCTAAGAGTCTTAATCATGAAGGGATGTCGTCTTGAATGCTTTCTCTGCATCGATTGAAATGATCTTTATCACTTTTTCTGTTCATATGGTGTATTACGTTTATGGTTTTGCATAGGTTGAACCACCCTTGCATCTTTGGAATAAAGCCTAACTGGTCATGAATAATCTTTTTTATATGTTGTTGGATATGATTTGCTAGTATCTTATTGAAAATTTTACATCTATATTTATTAGATAGTGGCCTGTAGTTTTCCTTTTTTGTCATGTCTTTATCTGTTTTGGGAATGAGGATGATGGAGGCTTCATAAAAGGAGTTTG